TCCAATTCTCATGCAGTGACCTACCTCACAAATCCATATTTTAGACAAGGGCACACAATACACTTAATATCTCCCTCATATTCAACACCATCCTTAATAAAGTAGCTCAACCCCTCCATATATTTCCTCAATAGTCGATCCACTAACATTCATTTTTTATCCATAATCTCAAATCTATAAAAAATTATTCAGGGACATGTGATGAGTGGCTCAATCATCGAAAGTGCAAGATAGTAAATTAATTAACTACTAAGTCATCAATGCATTATTCATGAACTAATTGATTAAAAATAGTAGGATCCCTAATAAAAAATCCTCACTATTAAAAATAATTTTAAGTTTATTTTGAGTTAAAGTTCTTTTAGTTGTCTAATAAGCCACAATTTTCATTTTAGAGTACTAATTAGTTGTTAATTCTTTTAAAAAGAATTGGCATTATAACGGTTTAAAATTGAAACTTTTCTATGCACTTATAATGAAGAACATATTTATAGCATTCTAAAACTAATTTTGATATTAAGCTAGCAATTTTAACCTTTAAATATTGGCTCAATTTTATATGATAAGAATGATCTCTCTTAAGATTATATTACTATAATGTCATTTACAAGTGAAACATATATATCCTTGATAAATAAAACTTATCCATTTAATTGCATATATCTCTATCCAATACCAATACCACAAATATTAGAAACTAATTAGGTAACAATTAAAATTAAATTTTGGATAGCACCTTATTAGAAAACAAACTTTGATCAGCCCTTCAAATTTAGGTTGAGCAATTTTACAAGGACGAATGTCAAGTGGCTACATATGATCAGATTGAGAACTTTTATCAATGCATCTTCACCAAAGTTGCTAATATTTGCGAACATAGGTATTCACACAAGAATCTGTCTACTAATTTCAAGTTATACAATTCTCATCATTTCACCCATGAATCATCATTTTCTCACAAACTTAAAATTCTGGCAGTGTTATTACTGCAGCTGTGTGCAAAACTTGCCTATGAAGGTGATGGAAGCCATAGCAAGTGTGATATACGCACGAACGTTCAAATTTTCTCCTTTTAAATATTTTATTGAACACCTTATGTACACCAATGTTCAATCCATAAATCTAATATCTTTTCTCCCCAAATATCATCCCAACAAATTCAAAAGTGAGTAGTAAAGAGATGAAATGCCCAGTTAATTTGAGTGTTGACAAACGCATAGAGCACACCCAAACACAAATAACAAATAGAGAAGGAGCTTACAATGAATGGAAGCTAAGAAGTTGTTGTCAAAGATGAACATGAAGCTCTAGAACTCACAACCAAATGAAGACAAACTTGAAGGATTAGTGGGTTTTTGACAAAAATGATGATGGGGTTTTGGGTTTCTAAGAGTAATGATGAATGAGAGCAATTTTAGTTTTGCAACGAATGAAAATGATCGAAGAAGAAGAATTGGAGCTCCGATAAAGGGCTTCTATATAGGACAGTTGAAACAAAAATCATCCTCTATAGTAATAACATAGAGGAGGGTTTATTTTTCTTAAAAAAAGAATTTTGTAAAACTTAGAATCAAATAGAGGACAGTTACACTTGGAACCATCCTATATAATTTTAATATAGATGACGGTTCTTTTTACAATTGTCCTATATGGTTTTTAAATTTTTTTTTTAAAAGCCTAATAGTCTGCCTTGTTGATATATGGCATCCTGTATATGCATTTTTGTAGTAGTGACAATGTAAAAATTTATTAAAATTTTCCTTGTTGTGAAGAAAATAATAATTAGAAGTTGGCTAGATGAAAAATTATTCAAATCTGCCTTATTGTTATGAGGTAGAGAATAATTAGAAGTTAGTTAGATCAATTACACATGATGTCTTTGTAATTATTTTGTGTTGTAAAAGTTATTACTATTCCTTAAAAATTCAAAATTGTTAAAAATGGCTACCAATAAAACTTATATGGTTAAAATAATTTGTTTTATTAAAATGCTTTTTTAAGATAATTGAAAAATTATACATGAAATTTATATTTAATAAAAGAAGGGGAAACATTTAACTTGGGAAAAGATAAAAATTTAATCATGTATTTATTACTTTTTGAGAAAAATATGGAGAAGATAAAAGTAAAATATATTTAATATAAACTAATATAATACATATTTATAAATAAATTATACATTTAATTATTTTCATTTAAAAATAAAAAATTGAATTTAAAATTTTTTAAAATGTATATAAGAAAATAATTTAAAATTTAACATTTGTTTCATTTTAAGTTCATTTTCTTAACAAATATAATATTTTCTCCTAAAAAATAATATGTTATTAAAAACTATATATATTCTCATATATATTATTTTATCATATTAATAATTGAAAATAAAATAAAATATATATGTATATCTTTTTAATAATATATTTTTTCTTATACATGTGTATGTAGTTAGATAATATATGTTTAATTTCACATATAATAACTACTGGTGTATTTTAATTCAACTGGTAAAAAAGAAAGACTTAATATTTGGGAGGTGTAGGTCATTAAGGGTTCAAATATTGGCTTAAACATATTTCATAATGAATATGTGATGTGGTGTGTAGTGACGATATGGTGAGTCAGGGCATGAGGAGGCGCACATGTGGCAAGATGATGTGGAGTGAAGTATTTGGTGGCATAGCTTGAGGAGGCGAACACATGGTGGGGTGATGTGGAGTGAGATGTAACGTGACGTGGCATGAGGAGGCACACGCATGATAAGGTGATGTGGCATGAGGAGATGTAAACATGATATAATGATGTGGCACAAGATGGCTTTTTTTTTTTTTTTTAGTGTATATAAGACTATTCAATTAGCCATACAATTTAGTGAACTTGCTGGAACTAATTGTGGAGTCAAAGTACGTACTAAAGGGATGGATATAGCCTCCTTAGAGCGAATAATTCAGGCCAAGCCTGACAGGCCAACCCAAACCTATCCAAAAAAAGTTAAAGTCGAGCCTGACTATATGAACTTTCTCAAGAGAGTACGATACTTTAAACTCGATCTGAATAAGCTTGACTCAAATTGAGCCTGACCTCCACAATTTCTAGCTCTATATATATATATATATATATAAAGTTGATAATTTTGGCCAAATTTGATGGGCCAGCTCAAATTTATCGAAAAAAATTAGAGTCAGGTTTAGCCAATATGGGCTTTTTTAAGAGGGTAAGATATTTCAAACTTGATCCGAATAAGCTCGACCCGAATTGAGCCTTACACAAATAAGTTTGGCCCGCTTAAGTTTGGTCCGCTTGAATTATTGGCTCTAAGCCTCCCCACTCCCTAAACAAATTAGGGATAATTTCATCTAAGAACCACAATAAATAGTTTTTTTTCCGAATCAAGCCTAAACAATCTGAAAAGGCGCACATTGCAAGATTTAATGATTGAAGTGTAACAAAATCATGAAGCAAAATGACTAAAATGTCCTTCTCGAGTGATTCATGAGAATTATTAGTTTTACTTGTAAATTTATAAACATTACTTGTGAATTTCTTGGCCATATAATAAAATTTTTAGTCCTTCCAATTTATTTTATTTATTAATTTAGTCATTCTTGGGGAAAATAATGAAAATTTTAGTCTTTTAAGTTTGCTTCAATTATTAACTTAGTCCCTTCATGTTCAATTTTTATCAATTTGAGTTTTTAAGTTTGTTTCAATTATTAATTTAGTGCTTATCGCTTAAAGACAGAGGTAAAGCTATTAATTAATGAAAATATTGATTGCAGTGTGCCATCTTAATTAATAAAAAGAAGTATAATTATTTAGATAGGATAAATCAATTAAAAATTTAAAAAATAAAATAACTAAACGTAGCACAAGGAATTAGATTGAAAAAATTATTTACTGTCAAATTTGACAATAACAAAATTATTTTTCTCATGCATAAAAAAAAATTAACTAGCTACTGTGGTACTCCTTAGATGAAAATCTCGCAACAAATTAATCATGGAGTTTCAATTTCTCCTTAGAATGTTTTTATATAGTTCAATTTCTCAAAATACATAAAAAGAGTTGCTCTTGTGTTTAACTTTTATACAATCGTTTTTAATAATTCTTCATTAATCTCTCGAACCTTTTTTCTTTAAATATATATATATATATATATGATGAATCTAGTTTTCTATTGAGGGCCGATTTGGGTAATTTTTGGTAAAAGAAATTGGTTTTATTATTTGAATTGCCAAAAAATTAAAATTTAGATAAGGATGGGTTAAAAAAATTATGTTAACTTTGAAAGTTGTCAGTTTTAATGAACATTGTAACATAATATTAATGGTCTTGATTTGCTTTAAAAATTAAATTATAAATATTAATAAGATAAATTTATACCTCAATTGAAGCATGGAATTGTATCAAATTAAAAGACTAGATTTGTTTCCTAAATGCACATATTGTTCATAACAGATTATTGACATTAACTATAATGAATCTTTTTTTTTTTGTTTCCCTTGAAAAAAAGGACTTTTGGAAAAACAAGATATGTTAAGTATCTCATCTATTCTAATTTATAAGAAATTTTTAAATATGATTTAGTATTTCAAAATATATTATATTTTGAAAAAAATTAATATTTCATTAATATTTCAATATTAAGTCTCATTATTTCAATTCTTAAATAAATATATTTCCCCTTCTATTATTAACGAAGAGCTTTTTTTTTTTTGGAAATCTATAGGAAATTAAGATTATAAACTGTATTTAATAATTACTTTATTGGTATGTAAAATTTGTCAAAAAAAAATATCTTATAAATTGGGACTGATAGACTAATAAGATAGATTCAATATCTACATTGCAATAATAGACACTGATGATGAGGTATATTAATTGAAAATGTTCATTTTATTTAAATTTATTTGTATATGCATTGTTAAATTTGCAAGAACATATCCTGCATTGTAAGAGTTTATTGCTAATATAAGAGGCAAAAGCAAAAGAAATTAATTTACTCAATTAGGTAAATTTGCAAGCCATCCATCTTGATTTATAAATGATGATTTTGAAAATTGATGATTTAACTTGGAAGCAGAGAGTTTGGTCTCCCATGGAACTCGCTTCCCTAGAGTTGCCCCTGGGCCTTCACAACCAACTTCAGCATACATCAAATTGCCCCTGCATTATTTCATTCCCATGCTAATTAATTCTGATCTCACATGATATTGAAAAATAAATTTTTCTGTAAAAAATAAAATAAAATGTTGCATATATCTAAATTTTTTTAAAAAATACTAATAAAAAGCATTGTATATCACAAATTCCTGTATCATTAAAAATAAATAAATAAATCTGAGAGGGCTATACATCTATTTATAATTGAATATTATATAATTTTATAAAAAATATAAGTTCATCAGTGGACAAAATAAATAATAAATAAATAAACAGTACCATCTATATTATGAAACAAAAATCTACCAATAAAATATATGTGTGTTTTAAAAAAATGCTTAAATTTTTCTAAATGTACTTATAGTATTATTATCATGGAAAAACAAAACTATTGGTTCCTATATTTTCAATGTGTTTTGGCATAGGTCACTATTTTTTTTTTTTGGTTGTTTCAGGTTCTTTTAGTTTATTTCGTCTACAACTTTAATTTTTTAATTTTTGAATGTATATATTTTTAAATATGTGTGTGTGTGTCTGGAAAGATAATGAGATGGTAAAAACTATGTTAAATATGTTGACACGTGCCGTTTATCTTTATGCTAGGTTAGAATTATGATTCAACAAATTGAAACATGAAAATATGAAACATAAAAGGGTGGACAACGCCATTAAATATTAATCTGTTAAATTATAATACCATTTCAGCTTTGATTATAATGGTGTTAGTCACAAATCAACATATTTAACACCATTAATGCTATCTCAATGCCTTTCAGGGGTATATTGATTTTTTTTAAGGAAAAAAAAAACGTTTAACATTACAGCAGACGGGGAAAAACTAGAGGAATATGGAGACTTGAGCAACAAAAAAATTATAGGAACCAATAATTATGTTTTCCTATTAATTACCATCTATCATCATCAATCATTATTATTAAAATTAGATAAAATGTAGAAGGTAAACTAACTTGTGTTGTGTGTAATGCCAAGCATCCCATCCTTGAGGAGATACCAGAGAATCTAGAAATGTTCCGTGAAATATGACTCTTGAATAAGGGCCGTAGGCTCTTCCTAGCAGAACCGGACCGGTTCCCACAACTCTGCCTCCTCCGAACACAAAGCCACTTGCTTCCTTCTCGGATCTTCGCCCTTGTGCTGTTATACAACCCCAAGGAACACCCACGCTTGACCTCGTGCTTAACGTCACGTTCACGTAACAATTCTAGAAAGAAAGTAAATGCTATCATTAAGGACGAATGTAGAAATCATCAATATCTATCATATGAATAGCGATAACTGAAATTTTATCTAAATGAGAGGTGGACAACATTTTTCATAAACAACGTTATACCTTTTTTTTTTTTTAAAGGTGAAGTATGGGGGTCATAGCCACTGCATGCATCCCTAAATTCATGAATGGATATCTACAAGGTGACTTGCAAAAAGGATCGGAAGGAGTATATAGACAATATTAATGTGTGTGTGCGTCTCCAAAATATTGCTCAGCAAACCGTCGGACAAATGGGATGTTAAGAATTAGAAAAGCTTGGTTCGAGCCGGATTTAAATGTTGGCTAAGAAAATGTCATGTAGTAAGAGAAATAGTTGTTGATTTTATAAACCATTCTCACTAAGTGATGAAAGGAAGGCACCGATTGGTAAATAGAAACATTGTCATAACCACTACATGTTTGATCCAACTAGCAATGGGAGCTATATCATATTAACTAAAGGTCTCAACTCAAACCCTAGAAATACAATAGTGTTTTGTTTTAAGAATCTATCAGATCAAACTGGTTGAATTGTCGGCCACAACCATTAACAGCTTGTTTTGAACTAAAAAACCATCTTCATGGTTGAGTAGGATTGAACTGGAGTTGAACTACTATTTAACTGAAAAATAGATGGTTCTAAATATAATTTAAAAAGGAAATTTTTTTAAAAAATCAAAAATTTTAAAAAGTAAACCCTACTAAAAGCCATCTTCATTTTAGGAATTTTCACATGTACAGAATATGATTTGTGATCATTTTTTTTAGGAAAATGTTGACAACTATAAGTACAAATACAAATACTTTTGAATCTATTCAAATGTGGTCTAACTAAAATCTAATTATATTTAAAAAGTTATAAAATTATAATTTATGATATTGTTAATTTATGGTGATGTTATTTTTTTTTTATTAACAATTAGATTAGAGATACTCTGAATTTATTTCTTATGTGTACTTTATATATATATATATTTAATATTAATTTTTATTTTATTATTATATCACGAGTTTAACCACTTAAATTATAAAAACTGAATCCTCACTAATCTTTCTAGTTTAATATCTGATTTAATTTTTAAAATAACTGTGGTAGAGCTCCTTCTGGAAAGGGTATCATGTCCGTTCGATTCAAGTTAGTTTAGAGTCTAGGCCCAGTTAAGCCTTCTCAACTCAATGTTGGGCTTCCCAAGATACCGAATGCTCCACTCAAAACAAAAAAAATCCTCATTTAAATTGCAAACTTAGTGCAGCGTACACATATGCAGACACAAACCTCGAAATAGGATTGGCCGTTGCCAAAAATGAAGTCGACAGCACCCTGAATATAGCAATTCTTGAAGTAATGACGGCCTTGGACATCCCAAAGTGTGTCTTGAAAACCCAAAAAGCCACAATCCAAAAATGCTGATCTGTCGCCATATATTCTCGTTGCCAGTGCTGGCACTACTCTCGCGTTTTGCTCCAATCGCGATTCTGTGGAGAGATCAAACGAGTTCTGCACTCGCAATATAAAAATTATATGCGTCAAAATAAATTTCTGAATATTGCCACCTTATTATTTTGTTTATTATATGGGTTGTATATATTGTGGAATTTTTAGAATTCATTACTATGAAATTACAATATTACCCTTTTGTTATAATAAAAATCAAAATGAATTATTATTTTATATTATATTATAATTTTGTTTAGCAACTAGATACCTTACTCCTATTGAGATGGAGTTATATATGGAGTCATGTACATAGTATTTTCTTTTTCCCGACGTATAGCATGATAAGAATAAATAAATAAAAAGACACGTTCAATAGCTGATGATGCTTCAGAGAATTTTAATATACACAATTTAAAAATATAATAATAAGCCAGGGCATACGTACAGCCAAAGAAAATTGCTAATATTTTTTATTTATTTTGATATTAATTATAATTTTTAAAAAACATATCAATTTCTAGTCACTTTTAAAAGATATAACATTTAGCACATTAACAATTATTTTTTAAAGAAAAAAGTAATCATTTGGTTCTTGTAATTTTAACTTAGTTATAACTCAGTCTTTTAACTTTAACTTATAACTTAATCCTTATAGTTTTGTCTCAGTTATAACTCAATACTAAACTTTGACTCTTATAATTCAATCATTATATTTTTAATTATTTAAAATATTGAATTCTATATTTTTAAAAATTAAACTATAAAAATTAAAATTATATTAAAATTTAGAACTAATATTTTAAATTAACTAATAATAATATATTTGGGATAAGATGGGACATCCCAATGATAATTTTGAGTTCTGTCCTATCCCAAACATATTTCTGTCTCATCTGACAAAGTTCCATCTCCTTTAATGTTTGATTAGGATAGACCTGTCCTAATATGTTTGGAATATAATCGAGCCGATTGGGATAAGAACCAGTATGAACACTCATAGTTTCATGTACTAACCTCGAAGGTGATGCCAACTACAATGACATTGTTGGGAAAGGAGGTGAAGGTAGCGCTAGTATCCGTTTGTTGATGATCATTGTACGTAATTGTTGTAACTCTTCTGCCTTCCCCTTCCAACAAGATACATGGTTTATCTTTTGGAATCTGTACCTTTTCTCTGCACAACACAACAACAAGACACATCGGATTGAATTAGTGATGAATACCAGTCAGTTCGGTTCGGTTCAAAAACCGAACAAACCAAAAAACAAATAAACCGAATTCAATTTGATTTGGTTCTCCCCCCCCCCCCGGGGTTTTGCTACTCTTGTTCTGGATAATAAATAAATGGTTGCGTTTTACTTACAGGTATTTTCCTTGATGTATGTGAATTTTAACCCACCGAGCATTGTTCCTTGATATAGAATCAACTGCTGCTTGAACTGTTTTGAACTTACCAGATTGGCCAACTGTAATGGAATATGCAATTTCCTTCCCTCCACAATCTTCTGCGATACCAACAGAGAAATAACATTGGAAAATCATTAGGAACACAAAAAGAGGCATAACTATTTGTCCAGAAACCAGATTCATTGTCGTCACTGGAATTCTGGAAATGAAGATCTCACAAATGAACTGATATATCATTGAGATTTTATACCTGATCAGGTAGCCTTGATAACAAAATGATTGTCAACTAATTATATGACTTTAATAATGTATTAATTGCATGATATTATGAAATGGAATTATAACATTCGAATAATAATTATGTATCGCGAACTTCAAATGTCAAAGTTTCTGTTTTCCATCGTTTTAGTTCGTTTGTTAGCTGTTTCTTTGCATTGTGGACTGCGCTAGCTGGGATCTTGTTTCTATTCAAGTCAATTTCACGGGGGGACAAAAAATATATGCGATCCAAACTGATCGTGGGTTTTATGAATCATATCAATTTAACATTAAAATTTATATCACTGAATTACAAAATTATTTATTTAATACTATTAAGTAAGGTTACTATATATATATATATATGGAAACTAATTTTTATGGGATTTCTTTATTGTTTATTTAAATAATTCATTAAAATTCTGACTTTTATTGATTTTTTCAACTTGGTTACATGCATAAAACTCTTTTTTCTTTGTTTTTTTTATTGAAATTTAATCATCCTGTTCTTATAGTTTTCTTAAATTTTGAATCTGGTCCTTTACTATGAAAAAACTATGCACCGATGGTGTTCCTTTTGAAGTGTTCATGAAAAATGTCGTCAAAGATGTTGCTATAGTAACGTTTCTCTACAAGACACCATTATAAGCGGTGTTTAGTTAACAAATGCTGCTTGAGGCCCTTTTTGAAAAATACACCTAGAGGGGGTGTTTTCTACGTACACTACCACTGGGGCCTTTCTCTAATGAAACAACCCATAGGCTGTGTTCTAAATGCCACCTATAAGGGCTATTTTTAGAGCTTGTTTGGGTTTTTCACATTTCACATTCTGAAAATGCTTTTGCACTTTCAAAACGTAAGATGTTGTTTTGTTGTTTTGTTTTGTTCTAAACTAACTTCTAAAAAGTCATTTCAAAATGCCATCGAATGTGGACTCACCGAAAGCTACTAGGGGAAGCTTTTCCAGTTTGAAAGTGGGATATTAGCCATATAACAAGGGAAATAAAAATGTACCTAATTTTAAATTGAACGCACAATTATTAATATATCCTTCCCCACAGCACAGTCGTGTTCATCTCACCAGAATATTTTTGCAAGAGGCTCCCTATCACTAGCTGCGCAGCAGAGGCTATCACCACTTGTTCTCCTCTTGTCAGCAGCAGCTTCATCATCTTCATTTCTTCAATTTCCACTATTTCTATTTTCCCTGTCTTAACATTAAATAGTATTTAATAAAGTTATTTACTCCTCGTCTTCATTTCATCAGCTACATTCAATTAAAAAATTTAAAGAAAAATAGATAACAAAGTTTTACATACATATATAGTAAAGTAAATAAGAATTTAATATTTGTATATATTTAATAAGTTAATATTTGTAAATAAGAATTTAAAACAATTGAAATTAAAAGAAAATGGAGTAAATAATTTTTAATAAGGAAAAAACAAAGAATAAATAGAAATTATTAATTAATGAAATGAAAATGTTAAATTAAATAAATACTAATTGAAAATTTCAAAAACTCTAAATTAAAAAAAATGAAAAATTCAAATTAAATAAAGGAACGCCTAAAGGCATTTCAATAAACAACCTGAAAGCTATGGCAGCACTGTTTTCGCAGTGTTTTTACAAAATGCCAGAAGTATCTTTAGGGGCGTTTTAAAACCTTCTAAAGCAAAGAAAAATCATCTCTAAAGCAATGTTTTTTTTTTTTGGTGTAGTGCTTACATTTGTATTTCTTTTTACTGAGTTCTTGTATTTTGCACTGTTAAATTTGCTAGCCCCTCTAGTTCAAAACATTTTAATCAGGTCCAATGATATTAAGAAGTCTATTAGATATGGTGAGATGGCAAACAATCAGGAAGAGTACCGGAGTCTAACTATGTATTCAAATTGTAAACTAGAAAAAAAAAATTATTAGACAAATCGGGTGTGCTGTGTCATTTGTGATCTATCTGATAAAAACATAACATTTATATAGCATTAAATATAAATTGATTCTTCCATCAATGATAGGACAGAAAAAAAGGAAAGAAATTATATGCATTCTAAATAAAATTAAAATCATTTAAAATAATGTTACATAAGATTTTGTTTAGATGACTTGGGACATTCTAATTGAACAAATCACCACAAATGATATGGTACATCTAATCTACTTAAGAATTTCTCTGATAAAATAAAGCCACATCTGAAAATAATTTTCACAAATCTTAATCAAAGGGGGTATCGGGATTTTTCTTTTATAGGGTCATTTCTTTGAGGTCAACTAGGGTTTCTTTATGCAGAGAAGGGAGGACTGCCGTCGTGTGTGGCCATGTGGGAGATCAAGATGATCTAGTAAGTGATTCAAGGTGACCCTTGTCGGTGAGCTTGTGGGAACACTTTGCAGATTGAGACAACCACAGAACACTTCAACCCCATTGTAGAACCGAGCCACATACTCTGGTAAATTGCCAATGGTTCAAATGAATTTACTGGTTTGTTTAGAATAATCTGCTTTATCTAGATTTATTTTCTTTTTCTTTTTAATAATTTACCTTTGATTCCATGCAGAGTTGAAAAATGTTGCAGGTGATTTACATCTCATTGATTTTTGTTTATATTTCTTTAAATTAAAGTTTGGATAAGTGGCATGTTTTGGTTTAATTGACCGTCGGCTCTACAAATATATTGATATTTATATATATTGATGCAGATCGTTAGGCATATCAATACTGTTTTAAGAATATTCTGGTTTTCTTCCCTTCTCCGTTTCTAGGCATGCGCGAGCTGGTTCAGTCTTAACCCGATGAGAGAAAAAACTCAGACCACCGCTTTGATTCAGATTCGTGAAAATTATTTTCAGACGTGGCTTTATCCTACCATCTGAACGGTTAGTCAGACTCCGCTCTTCCCAGTTGTGTGCCACCTTACCACTGTCAAACAATTTTCTTAACACCATGGGACTCTATTAAACAATTTTAAACCAAAGTGCTAAAGGATTTAACCGTGCAAACTACAAGGACTCAATGAAAAGAAATAAAAACGTAATTACCTGATTCAAAACTTAAGAAAACTACAAGAATTGGAGGATTAATTCCCCCCCCCCTTATAAAAACAGAAAACCCAGTTTAAGCAAACTAGTGTTTCTTTCGTCAAAAAATAAAAAATAAAAAGAAAAGAAAAGAAAAGAACAACTAGTGTTGCTTAGCCAAAACAAAAATCAAACTAGTACTGTACCCGTGATATTAATGGTTGTGTAAAATACACAAATTATAACCATGTATGCGTCATTTTAGAATAAAGGTTTGTATCACAAGGGGGTAATCAAGCCATTAAATTAATAGAACAATTTTATTTGTTATAACTGTTGGAATTTGAATTTGCATGATTTCCACCCATGACAAGTCATCAATGAGATTTGCAATAATTTCAGTCATAATGAGTTGACCAAAATATGAAAATGATTTGATTAATTTTTGATCGATAGCCTAAAAGGGAAACAATCTTACATTATAATGATGATTATTTCAATCAACATATTGCCTCTATAATGAGGCCAATTAATGCTAATTGGATCTTCATTTTATACAAAGACCTCTTTTCACTATAAATAGTGATTAGAGGCAAGAGGTAGAATTGTCCTAGAGCAAAACAGTTATTTAGTTCACTCTTCTCCCTCTTTTTCTCTTCGGTGCATCTATTGTGCAGTAGACTAGACTCTTATAGTCTACACTTGTGTGGGTAGTTGAGTAAACTTTGCAATGCTCGAATCTGGTAAGATTATGATCCAACTCCTTTTTAGAAGGTTTATTATTTATTTAATAATCCTTCAATGGCATTAGAGCTACGTTGTTCCTACAACTATGGTTGTGGGTAATATTGACAAAATTTAAATTTATGCATTTATCTTTATCAGCCTTTTTTATATTGCTTGAACATGCATCTTCCATCACTTTACTTCTCCAACCATCTATTGATCAAGGGGCTTCCTTACCTTGATTTAGGACTTGGCTGACTTCTCATCATGCCTTTGTATTCCACTATGCTTATTATGAATATGTTCATATTATTTCTTATGCATGCTATGCATAATCATTTTTGGCCTTTGTTTTTTTAGAATTTCTTTTTTTGCTTATTTTTCGGATTTTTGTTTTGATTCTAGATCTTTTCCTATATGAGTTTATGCATTTCTAGACTGTCCCTTCTCCCTTCCCATGTTCATTTGAATCTAAACCACCTTTTGGATGCTTTTGAAAAACCTCCTTTGATGCTATTTAAGAACATGCAAAGGAGGATATTTTGAAAATGCACACGTGCACGTGTGTGTATGATTTACTAGCTTTTGGTTTTTGAAATTGGTATGGTTGTGTAGAGGGAGAAAAGATGATTCCAATGAGACCAGAATCACATTAAATAGAGGTCAGATAAAGGAGAAATGAGAAAAAAAAATAATACTAAATTGGTTCACCACTTGGTTGGATTGACCCAATTGAAGGTTGAAGACAACCTCCACAATGCTATTTTGACCATCTTGTGAGTTGTGTTTCATTTGAATGCAATTTTTATTTTTTGCTTGACTTGCTAGAAAGGTGTGTGTGGGCTTCTTTTGTGGCATGGTTTCAACATAAAAATCCATAAATTTATTATCTATGCAATGATATATTATTTGTTTGTTTTTTCTAAAAGTTTTATGCATTTTAAATGTGTTTTTGACCATTTTTTTCACTATTTTCTTTGTAAAAAATTATAAAGGCTTTTCTCAATTATCTTTGACATTAATTGAATATGCCTAATAGTCACAAATCTCTAACGTATTCTCCTTTATCATATTATTCTAATAAAGAGAAAAATTCTTCCATGAAAGTTATGCTAAGTAATTCCCTAAAGAAAGTAGAGGCTTTACTGGAATCATATTCTGTGAGTAGAATGAAAGAAAAAGG